TGGGTTTAGTCAATGCTGGAACCAACAAGGCGGCGTCAAGCGGTACATCTCTGAACACGAAAAGGCTTGATGATGACACTGAGAACCTTACTCGTAAGTCTATCTCTTATCATTTGCTTTTACTAATATGGTGAATTGATTTCCCTTGTAGCTAGAAAATGGTAGTCTCAGGCTCTGTATACTGGAGAAATGTGTTCATTTCTTGATTCAAAGTGTTGCACGCAATGCAATAGTTGAGGTCTGTTAATGTTTGTGTGATGATGAATTGGAATCATAGGATCCATTAAGTTTTTTTCTTTTGGCCTTAAATCTCTGATGGTTTTGCGGGAGTAACATTTTTATTCAGTGATGCGTATGCTTAAGCTCCTTGTAATGGTTACTCTACCATTCTGATTGCAGATGAACGTGTGCCTACTGAGCTAAAGAAAGCCATTATGCAAGCCCGAACAGAGAAGAAGCTTACCCAGTCCCAACTTGCTCAAGTATGTTAGCCTTCTCTCTGTATCTCGTATTCTTATAGCCTGTTGTATGTAACTATGTACATGACCCAAAAAAAACTTGTTTGTTTCATTTCGCAGATCATCAACGAGAAGCCACAAGTGATCCAAGAGTATGAGTCTGGCAAAGCAATCCCGAACCAGCAGATCCTTTCTAAGCTGGAGAGAGCACTTGGAGCTAAACTCCGTGGTAAGAAGTGAACAGTACCGAAGATAACAAAACTTAATCGCAGTTTCGCTTTTCCTAATGTTGTCGTAACAACAATCAATGCTTTGATCTAATGTCGTAACTCTGCGAAGAAGAATCCTTTTCTGATGTAAGAAAGCAAAAAAACCGTTTGAATGTTTGGTTTGATGAATCACTCGTCTCATGAACTTATATAATATAAATAAACTCAGGATCTTTTCGTCCCACACAATAGGATCTGCTTTATTGTTGATTTTATATGAACTTAAAGAACATAGAGAAATTCAATTCAGAATTCAGAATTCAGAATTCAGGTTCAGGTTCTTCTTCAACCGGAGCAATGACCCATTCGCCATCTTCGTTCTTGATCATTCCTTTGTTCTTCTCCACCCACCAAATTCCTGGCACTAAACACTCATCTTTCAAGAACTCACATGATTTGTTCACTAATGCAATACTTCTCTTCACCATCAGTTTAAACTCTCCTTTCTTCCCATTCCATCCCGCAACGATATGGAGCATTGCCTGCACAGATATGAAAAAAAAATGTAAGTTTTTACTCTTGTGTTGTACTTGAAGTCGAAAGAGCTCACCTGAAGATTGTGCCAATCCCCTGGATTCCTTGAATCCTTCAGGTATGGTGACTTCTTTGTATCGATCACAAAGTTGATTCCTATATCCACATACCCCAAAAGTCCTCCCGGGTATCGAGTTAAGAGATCAATCTTGTTCCTCACATGGAGAATCTTTAAGTTCTTATGACTTGTTACTTCATCCTTGAACTCCTTGTTACCTACCTGTGGACAACCAAACACAATAGCAGTTATCGGAACATCACCATTGGAACCGTTCTCAGCTATGTCATACGCAGCGATAACAGCCTCTGTAGCTCCCAAGCTATGTCCAGTCAACACGACGCTCGGTTTCTCGTCTTTATACTTCACTAGAAGCTCCTTGATCTTAGCTAGCAGCTGTGACCGTAGACTCAGCTTAGTGAATTTCGAATCCGGGTGATCAGAAGTATAGATTGTGAGCCACCCAAGCATCACCTTACATCCCTCTTCGTCTTCACTGTCACTACCATAAGTAGTATCAGCTCCAACTACAGCAGAACCAGAACCGTTCTGGTCCGGTCCCTTCAGCAACGGCTCAGCTGAAGTAGGCCTAGCTCCCAAAACATTGATCCACTCATAGTTCCTACTCGTCCCTCTCAGAGCCACGTAGATCTCACGGCGTCCTAAAGCCTTGGTCCGTTCATCAGACGTTACAGCTATGTAACCAAACCAGTTAGACTCACGGTCCCAAGAATCTCTTGATTGTGAGTGGAGCAGCAAACCTTCAGGGAGAGCCACACGAGCAGTGGCATAAAGGAAGCTTGTAACCTCATAGTCAGAAGCAGATTCGAGCATGACCTTGTCGAAGAATGAAGATTTGCCGTAGCGGCTGGCTCCACAGTACTTGGAGTTCTCGTCATTGACGAAAGCATCGTAAGTGGCTTGACAAAAGTCGCCGCAACGGAGAATGAGTTGGCGAAGTGATTGGTCTAATGGGTCTAAGAGAGTGTCCCAATTCTTTGAGCCTAAGAGCTCTTCCCATGATGTTGTTGTAGAACTAGCAGCCATTGAAAGAGAAAATGGTGTGTGCAAGTGACTTTTGGCTCTTAAGTATATAATACAACTTTATTTGAGTGGTTGTGATGATAATGGTGTGACTGTGTGTGACCCACTTAAATCATTAACGATAAAGGTTATTATTGGTATGGGAATATTATTGGCATATAGTATCACAAACTTCCATATCATTCTCAACCATACAAACAACGATAGTAAAAATCAAACCCAATCAATTGAGAAAAGAAAATTCAACCAAATCAATAGACACACGCACACAATCGAGAACAAATTGTTACGGTTTGTTTGTGTGTTTCTAATCAAATTCGACGATCGGTTTGTCTTCGTCGTCGGGAGTAGCCATGACCCAATCACCATTCTCAGTCTTGAGCATTCCTTTGTTTTTCTCGACCCACCAACACTCGGGAACCAAACATTCATCTGTCAATAGTGCACATGATTTGTTCACCAATGCTATGTTCCGGTTCACTTTCAACTCGAACTTCCCATTCTTCCCGTTCCATCCCGCGACGACATGTAACATAGCCTACATATCCACCCCAAACCATAACCATTAATTAAAACCAATGTCGTTTTAACATTTGAATCTATATTGTTAAGAACGTCCATGATTGTATTTGCATTTATATGTGAACACATTTCAACAAAAAGTTTCGCATTTTTCAAATAGAAAACACTATAATTTTCTTACAACATATTATGGAAAATGTAAGTACAAACAAATGGTTCTATATAATATTGTTGCGCATTAGACAAAAGACCGATTGATTAAACCCAGGGCCGTGCCTACATTTTCGGGGGCCCAAGGCGAAATTCATATAAAAAAAATTGTTTTTCAAATTTCAGAAACATTAAATATTTTAATTATATTAATGAATATACAACTTATTTAGTTATATTTTAATGTTTTAAATATTATATTYTTAGAGTAAAATATGTTAAAYARCAATATATATCTATCATTTTTTTTCTAAAACTCATTATCCATTAGTTTCTTAAATTATATCATAAATATTTTTACATTATTAATACTAGGAATATGTATAAAGCTTAACTAATGTAAAAGCAATTGCCATGTTGATTAAGGAAATTAGTGATATAGAACGAAAGAATTCTATAACAATTTGGAAATATCAACCTTCGATACAACGTAACAAAGGAATAGGTCAAACTAAAAGTGGAAATATAAGTATGATTTTGCAACAAAATTTTAAAATTTCCATGATCAGAGGCCCTAATATTTAGTGATCAAATGCGGGGCCCAAGACAAATGCCTTAATTTTTGTACATTAGGCAGGGCCTGATTAAACCTAATAATTTTGTCATTCAAGACTAAGGTTGTGTAAACGATTGGATCATATGCAAACAAATAATAAAGCAAAACAGAATGACTTGCCTGAAGGTTATGCCAATCACCAGGATGATGAGTTTCTTTAAGAAAAGGTGTAACTCTCGTATCGATTTTGAGTTTGGTACCAATGTTGACATACCCCATTATCTTAGCTGGATAACGAGTGATGAGATCAATTTCGTTTTTCACATGCAATATCCTCACATTGTTATGTTTGTTGATTCTTTCAGAGAATTCTTTGTTTCCCACTCTCGGAGAACCAAACACAATAGCCGTCACAGGAGGCACGTCGCTATAGCCGCTTGTAACGTTTTCCGCAAGATCAAACGCTGCGAGAGTCGCGATTGTCGCACCTAGGCTGTGTCCGGTGAGCACTATGCTAGGTTTCTCATCCTTGTATGTCTCTAGCAATTCTTTTATCTGTCGTACCAAGTTACCATTTACGTAAATCATACAAATTAAACCGAAATCGAATTAAAATCCTATCTCATTTTCGATGTGAGACTCTTAACGTTACTTGAGTTATTTGTGGATCATTTTTTTCTTCTTTTCAACTTAAAATGGATCATTTATGCATGGTTGTGAATTTTTCAATCCATATATTACATTCTAATTTTGTGACCTCAAAGTGAAATTCTCTATAACTCGATAAATATTTGATAACTTTAATTTGATCAATTAATATTCAATTTTTTTCACTACCTTCGTGAGAAGCTGCGAACGTGCACTCATCTTGGTAAAAGGTGAGTTTGGATTAGCCGTGGTATAAATAGTGAACCATCCAAGCATAACCTCAGGACCATCCTCACCATCCATCAACAGTTCCTTAATCGAAGTCAACTTCGTACCCATCACATTAATCCACTCGTAATTCCTAGTCGTCCCACGAAACACAACGTAGATCTCTCTTCTTCCAATCTCAGCCGTTCGTTCATCAGACGTGACCGCGATATAACCGATCCAATTAGTCTCCCGGTCCCAAGACTCGCGAGACATGGAGCTAAGAAAGAAGGCTTCGTAGTCGCTTACACGAGCCGTAGCGTAAAGGAACGAAACGATCTCGTAGTGTCTCGCATCATCGAGCATGACTTTGTCGAAAAACGATGGTTTGCCATAACGACTAGCTCCACAATATTTGGAGTTTTGGTCGTTGATGAAAGTATCGTAAGTGGCTTGACAGAAATCGCCGGTTCGAAGGATGAGTCGACGAAAAGAATGGTCAAGTGGTTCCAATAGATTTTGCCAATTGTCTTGGCCAAGAAGCTCTTCCCATGTTGGCTCGACCATGGTTTGATGATTTGATTTCTTGTTTATTGTGTGTGTAAAATTAACGCATTGAGGTTTATCTATTTATATGTAATCGTGAGAGCCACTTTTCAAAAATTTATTTGGATAATGAACATTTGAATTGATCTTGTATATATATATATACTTTAGAATATGCTATATAGAGTTCACTATTAAACTAGTAAAAAAAAACTGGTCAACACCAATTATTAAATTTAAATCCATGTTGTTATTCAAAATTGATATTCATGTTTGGGAAGTAATATAAATATATAGGTTTTACCTTTTGATTTTGAAATGTGATTACTTTGTTGCTATATTATCTCATTACAAAGTTATTGACTGGATTTTTTAGTAAATGTTATTGACTAAATCAGAGTGGATTATAAACAATTTTATTAAATTCATGTTGAACTAAATTTTCATTATTTTTTTGTATCAATTTAATGATCCATCATTCCACCCATAAGCTTATATTACATATCAGACATTCATTTGGAGATAAATATACATTTATTTCTTGTAGATTTATTTATTTACTTGAGCTCAAGTGGAAGAGCCTATTCTTAATTAGAGCCCATCCCTTATATATTAATTGGAGAGTGATTTGTGAGAATATGCTTATGTGTCATCTCCATAATCACTCTCACCAAATAAATTGTGACATTGCTTGAAAAAATTATGACATGACAACTTTGAATTAATAACTAAATCTTCTACAACTAAATTTATATTTATTACCATAAATAAATCAAAAAAGTTTTTAATTAATATATTATAAGATTTTCTTTTTTTTTTATTTTAAAATTATATACAAATTTGGTTTCTCATTTTAAAATAGTTTAGAAATTGATTTTGTAATAATAAAATTATAGAACATTTTTATAGAATATATATATTTTTTTAAAATAACAATAATGAATTTCCAATTTTTTAAAAGAGATTTTGATATGTTTGTGAAAAAAACTTCTCAAGTTCATACAACAAATATAATTATTCTTTTATAATATTTTTTTAACGCAAGATAATTTGAAAGTAATAAAAATATTTTTTAATTCAAAAGTAACAATTTGTTTTTAATCTTTG